CCTAAGGGGAGAGACTCCCCTATCCCAGTCCCCAGCAGGGAGGGATGTTCCTTAAAGAGAAGCCCCAACCCCCAACAATCTGGGATCCTGGCCCTGGGTCCCTTTGCATCCCCAAATCCCCACCCTCAAATTGTGCTCCAGAGATACCAGCTCCCAGTCCCCAGCCCCTCCATCCTGGAGGAGAGAGGGGATGTTACTACCCTCACACACACACACACACACACACACACACACACACACCATCCTTCTCCATATGTGCCCCAGATGAGTAATGTGCATGGCTTATCTGTGTCCTCCATCCCCACCCACCGAAGGCAAGCACTCTGCTCCGGGCGTCTACCTCCTGCGCCCCCACAACGAGGAGCTGAGCAGCAAAGGAGACTCCGTCAGCCTCACCTGCCTGGTGCAGGGCTTCTTCCCCGAGGACATCTCGGTGCAGTGGATGAAGAACCATGAAGGTGAAAATGAGACCAACTATATCACCACTCCACCCATGAAGGACGAAGCCAGCGACTCAAACTTCTTCCTCTACAGCAAGCTGAAAGTCAGCAAAGCCAGCTGGAACCGCGGGGACATCTACACCTGCATGGTCATCCACGAAGCCCTCTCGTTGAAGTTCACCCAACGCAGTGTCAGCAAAGTCTCTGGTAAATGAAGATGGCTCCTCCCAGCCCCACTGCTAGCATTGTCCAGTACAGCTTCCTGTAAATAATCTCTGTGTCCCCAATGACAACAAGTGAATAAATGGAACTAGTCTGAGCTCACCCCCAGGTCTCTTCATTCTGGTGTGACTATGTGAAATCTGTGGGTCGCCCAAGGTGGACGAGGTCCCAGGTTGCAGGCTGGGAGAAACTGAGATGCTATAAGACTGGGGCTGCCAATTTCCAGATCCTGTATGGGTGGATACGTATATACCATGGATGGATAGATAGATACATGGATAGATGCCATGAAAGGAAATATGAGTAGATGCCATAGGAAGGAAGGATAGGTAGATATTTGGGTCCATGCCATGGAAGGAAGGATGAATGCCTGCACGAGTACATACACACCATGGACACAGTGATGGAGAGAGGGGGTAGATGCACAGTTACACAATACATACTGCAGAGGAACAGACACATTCAAGCCAATCTCAGCTGGAAGGCCAGGTGTTCAGAGAGATGATTAGATGGATATATACTTCAGATGGCAGGACTAATACACCAAGAGATATCACAAGGAGGAAGAGAGAAATAGCGAGATCATTATTTGGATTAAATTAACCCCTATACCCCCAACTGAGACCAGGACCCTGTTGAGATGGGCACAGCACAGACAGCAGGAGGCAGTCCTTCTCACAGCCTAAATAGAGAAAGAGGAGGAGGAGAACAGAGGTACCAAGAGGGGAAGGGACCTGCCCAAAATTACCGAGCATGTCAATGACAGAGCTAGAAACAGAATCCAGGTGTCCTGAGTGTCCCACCCAGTGTGCCTGCAACTAGACTGCACTACACACAGGGAATGATGGTTG